TGGAGATGAATGGAACACCATGGGACACCACGTCAGATCAGAGTTAAGGATTAAAAACTAGCATTAGGGATTAGGATTAAGGGTTAAGATTACGGTTACAGTTAAGGTTACATGTCATCAACATTGTTCCAGGCAGTTTTGGTGTTCCTGCTGTTAACAAGTGCCTTTTAAAGTAGCTTTCTGTTCTTTAAATCGATGTAAAGTGGGAGCAATCCACGGCGCCATAAATCTTTAAAGGGGAGTGTTGCAAATAATATAGCGAATAGTACAAATCATTTATCTGCCCGCCACTGGAAAAGCACATAATATTTATAACCGATAACCGAGTTCAACAATTTTAAATTTGCCATTTTTCACACATGGGCGTGGTTACAATTGCGCATAAGCAGAATAGCAACTGCTTGTGATATTCTGGAGAATGCACGAAATAGGCCAATTTCAATATATTAAAATTCAAACTGGGGTCTCAGACCGAGGGGAATAACAACCAAAGAATCACATCCAGGCTGAGGGTGAATAATTAATTTCTTTTGTTTTCTTCTCCTAAGCCTTGGAGCCAAGTTTGAATTTTGATATATCGAAATAGGTCTATTCGGTCAACTTCGTCTGCGTTACTTTTGCACAATGCAAAACATCAGATTAAATAACAGGTTCCAGTCGTATGGTAGTGATGATCCGAAAGATACCAAACAGGTATTCAACGATAAGAACTTCAAAGTAGGGCCAGGGATTCGGAAATTTAGGTAGGGCTAAATCATATTTCGGACTTCGAATATTTACCAAAGATTTTAAGGGCTGTTTTTCAATGGCCTCTTCTCGTTACCAAAATGACATAGACAACCAAGAACAGATAATGGTATAAACCAATTGATGAAGACTAATCACGGCCGTAGTCAGACTAAAATTTTTACTGAGGAAATACCAGAAAAATAGGCTTCTTATATTGATCTACTTGTTTTATGCATAGCTTCTTATGAGAATTTCAAATATATAAATAAATTCCCAATTTTTACCGAGGCAAGTGCCTCAGTTCGCTTGTTATGCCCAGCACGCATGCAATAAATACGATAACATCATGTCACGTGGACTATACTGGACAAGTATTCGAGAGTCAGGTAGCCATTACAAACCAGTTAATATTTAGCATGTACAGAAGACGTTTGAATTTCCGTGGGTATCACACATTGTGACCGTTAATTGCACCTTCGAAGGGTTCAAAGTGATACGACTGTAAGAGGGTAGAAGATACAGCAACCGAATGCTGTAAAGCAATCTGGCATCAATCAATTCACGTAATTCTCATTTTAGGCCTCCGAGACGCTGCAATGGAGAAAAAAGGCAACATCTTACCATTTCTTTCTTAGCTCAAATTTCCAACAAAATTTCTTGCCCTCGTTCATCACTATTGTCGGTATTATTCTCGTGAAGGGATAATTCCTCTAGCTTTATGGTACTCCGGTCGGTATTATTCTCGTCAGGGGATGATTCCTCTTGGTTTACGCTACTCCGGTCATCTTGCCTTGACTCGTCTTTTGTCTCTTCATCTGTTGTAACTGGCGCTCGCAGGAATTGTGATATTTCTGCGTATTCTGTTTTTTCATAGGTAGGAGGCATTTTTAGTGGCTCCTGGGTAGCAGGGGCTGGTGTCTTCTGATGGAAATCCCGAAGGTCAGCGTAAGTCCCTTCCCCAGGCTGAGCTTTCTGTTGATTAAACAAAGTTGAACTAATATGACCCCTCTTTTTAGAAGAGGCCAATTTGGGCAAACGCATAGTTCAACTGTCACGGTCTCTAAGTTGCCCGCTTCTTTGCTGCATAACGTCAAATATTCGGTACTTATCTATTCTTATCGTCATGAATGGACGAACGAAGCATTATTCAAAAGGAAATTTAAAATATAAAGGCCGTTGTAACAAGTAGAATGTTCCAAGAAGATGACCTCAGCTGGGAGAAAACAACCTGTTTTCAGCTGACTCCAAATAAAAACAACAATTACAAACATAAATAGCGTACAGAATGTATGGATTTTTTTATTAGATTTTAGCAGGTTTAGTTTACTACAATTTTAGTTTGCAAGCTATTATGTCCGATGTCTCCTGCTTTATATGGCGTCAATACAGCAAACTCATTCAAGTAACAGGTTATGTAGTCTTATCGTTACATACAAAATCTGTATTTATTACAAAAGGTTAATCTTTAAACTCATATCAAAATGTTATTACATTTTCAAACGCAAGCTGCTCACCTTGGAATCCAACATTACGGCGTTTATTTTGTTATTAAAATATGTTAGATAGCAGTGCGCTTTTAAAGGGACACTATCACGGCGAGTTTACTACATTCTTGATCAAAAGAGTGCTAAAATTATGACAGAGATGACAGAGTACCTTCACTTGTACACAAAATGTTATTACAACTTCAAGATAACGATATCAAGTGAATTGTTAAATAAAAAACAAATTGCAAATTAGTTTTACGCGACACGACTTTCCAAGACACGACTACATAATTCGAAAAGAGCCTTCCAGACTTTCTTAATTTGAGATCAAAACCTTGCGCATGCGTAACTCATTATAACACTTCAACAGTGCCACTTCAATAGTAAGCTCTATATTTTTTTCTCTAGGTTTCCATCAATGAGAATCTATCTTTGAGCTTTTGACTTTCGAAGGCCATGCTCACGATAGCGTCCCTTTAAGTTGATTTTAGGCTTTTGACTTCGCGTAATGTGAACTTACTAATCATTCACCTTCTCACCATAGAAATACATAACTTGCTGTACTTAAAACTATCCTCGTTTTATTTTCCTTGGTAGTGAAACTTCTGTCTTCAGGAGTGGGGTCATCCATTTCCAACACCAAGTATTCTTTTCATCTTCAATACTTTCAACACATTACCTTGAATTCAATTTTGAGTCAAAGATTTCCTGCCGTCGAGGTTGTGATTTCCGTTCGGTTTCACTCGGCTGTATGCTGTCAGCTTTATTTGTGTGCAGCTTCTTAATTCCAATGTGCTTCTATCGACAAAGTTTTATTTGGTGTGCAACTGATATTTGGTTAGACTGTAAGATTAGCAGAATTGGAGAGAGGCGAGAAAAGTGATGGCATTCAGAGGTAATGGATGTGATGAAATCTGTATTCTCGTTTACATTTCCCTTAGTTATCTTTAGGTTTATGTAAATGTTCCAAGCAAATTGAATGATTTAGGTAAAAGCTTCAAATAAGCAACGGGTTTATTGTTCATTTAAATTCATTTGAAGATTGCTGAATAAATGTTACCAGACAGAAGTTGAGATTATCTCGATTACAGTTTTATTTTCTTATGTTTCAACGCAAGAATTAAGTGTCATTGGTTTATCAGGAACAGTGAAAAACCGATTTATATATTGAGGCTTTTTTAACGAATTTGCAGTAAAACATCAGTCCAGCACTGAGTGAATGAAGATGAGGTGACAAAAGCAAGTAAAGAGCACGTCCATTTTATCGAACGGAAAGCCAAAAACTGTAAGAAAGTACAGCTTTCTAAAACAAGGCCGCCTAACTAAATCTTGGGCCTAACCTGAGTAACACTGGAGTCGTTGATCGCTATCCCAGGTGTCTCTGCTGGGTTCGTGTTCCTGAATGTCACCATTGGCGTCTCAGATGGGTAACTGTGGCCATTTGCTCTGTCATGCTCGTATCCATAATTACCGCGTCCAGCCTCTCTCCCACCATTCCTATCAAACAAAAAAGTATGTAAATAAAGATAAAACTATTTAACCAGGAAAATGGTGAGAAGGGCACGGCTAACAAACGCCTTACAGGACGCTGCCATCACGGTTCTTTAAATGAATCCTACAATGAGCGACAAAAGTGTTGAGACACTTGGCAGTAAAATTCGATTTTTGAGCGTCTTGGAAACGTTTACCCCCTAACCCCCCCCCCCCCCCCCCCCCC